CAACAAATACTTAAGTCATAATAATTAACACACACCAATAAACACTAATAACTAACACACATCAACAAATACTCTTTTTATGACTTGAGTGCTTATTGATTTGTATTAATTATTATGTTTTAGATATACTGTCTTGGGCGCTGCGATTTGGATGTTCATTGCTCTGTGTTAAAGCCTGACTCTTGGATGTTCATTGGTCTGTGTTAAAGACTGACACTTGGATGTTGATTGCTCTGTGTTAAAGGTTGACACTTGAATGTCGATTGCTCTGTGTTTGGTATCGAAATATGGCATATGATTCATCACTCTTATCTTCTAAAAATGGAATGCGCTTAAGACCAAGAACAAGGTTGTAGCAGTTAGTATGAAAATAACAATTATGTACACCCATACGTATTTTCACACATATTAACATAAAACAGTCAAGGATCAAGAGAACAATCGCTTTTGGTAAGCATCAGACATGAGAAACTGAAACTCAAGTGATTATTATTCTAGCAGCCAGTGTGATAAAGAACTGTATTTAAAGAGTTTGCACAACGTGAATTTATACCATAGTTTCTGGACACCTTTCAGAGTATACATCAGAATGGATGTGCATATTTTAAAATTACGCGTTTGTTATACATATATAGCGAAGATATACATATTGTACCTTATGAATGAAGGTTATGGACATAAGATTCTTCATTAAATATTTATTACATTAACAAGAACTTTACGAAGCACTTTCAGAGTTTTAAAAGTCTAAATGTGTAACATAACAATATTTTAGACCATCTTGTTTAGTATTGTATAGGACTACTACTGGAACTCTAATAATTGCAGGTGTCATTTTTACTGTAGTGGTTATGACATTGTGCTTGAGAACAAAGATGATATTTTAGGTTGTATGTAATAAACTTCAAAACATATAGAATTAAGTTTGACAATATTTCATTTAAGCTAAATTACGAACGCTAAAATTGAGTCGGGCGTGGCATAATGGTTATTGTTCTTAGATTTTTGAACCATTTTTTGTTATTCTAAAATTGTATTTCACAGTTTAAAGCCATGGGGGTTCTGTAAGAGTGAAGTCCAATTCTTCAGTCAAACGAGAGTAGCAATCGGTATTGTTAACCAGCTGCCTTCATTCTAGTGTATTAAGTCAAAACTAGGGTCGCATATGGAAAAATAGCACTTTTAGACGCAAAACGTCTAAAACAAACAATAGGGCGAGTAGACGTAGAATAACTTCACAGTTTTAAGATCAAATGAGGATTTTTATGTGTTCCAAGGATCAAAATGTTTCTGACTGAAGAATAATTGGTAGTTTGTTAACTGAACCTAACAACGAAAATTATGTATTTCAGTTATCGTTACTTGAATAATAATTTTTCAATTGTTTGTAATCACTACACCATTGCGTCTATTTTAATTAATTTCATTTCAAAACTATTGACAAGAGAGGGCGCTAAGCTTTTAAAACAATGTGCAATTTCATTTTCCATTCTTACATTTGAGATTGCTTAACAACGTGATAAAATATCTTTATGAACTATTTGCATGTTAAAGCAATAGCAAACCCCACTTTTTATCAAATGTATTTTGAATTGTACCTGCATCATGTGTATAAAACGTTAAAATTAACAGAAAGAGAGCCAAATAATATTAAAGTTGAAACTTCAATTTATTACATTTATTTAGTCATACAACTGTAAGTCATCGTGCCTTAATAACAGGTCGTGTTGCATGTTTCCTTTAATGAGGCGCTATTTTTGAAATCATTTTGTACAAACAGATGGAGACTGCGGTTCTAATATTAGATGTACACAGCAAAATTGAAAATATCAATGGGTTAAGGAAATAAGGGATTTTAGAATTCAGAAAATACAAACCCAAACTAGGTTTTTCAACAGACACGGAGTCAATGATATGACATTAAGCAAAAACTAGTTTTATGTATTTTAGTATATTATATACTGTTGTTGAAGAAAAAGATCTTGTTGTTGGGATCGAAAAATCACTTAAATAATCTAAACAGTGTATTGTAGCTAGCAATAGGGCTAATAGGATTTTAGGTAGCATCTATAGAAATATTGAATAAAATACAAGGGATATTATTGTTTCAGTGTATATATCACTTGTAATGCTTCATTTAGAGTACTGTGTACAGGTTTGAGCTCTCTTCCTTAAGAAGAACATTGAATTGTTGGAGAAGGTTCAGAGAAGAACCACTAGGATGATACCAGGGATGGTGGGATTGTCCTATTAGGAGAGACTAAAATTTCTAAACTTGTTTATTCTGGAGAGGGGAAAAGTCAGAGGGGATTTTACTG